GAAGGGGGGGACCACATGGATCCCCCCCCTTGGCTCCTTCCGCCCCGGGGTTCCATGGTTGGCGGTGGTGTCGCTCTTTTCCTTGCTCCTATCAGGCTGGCCGACGGCAGGGTGGGTCTTCGACAAGAAGCCGGGCGTGGGGAACATGTGCCAGCGGCTGCTCTACGCGCCCAGCGCAGCCAGGGCCGCGGGCGGCGCGGCGGCCCGCGGCGGCCCCCCGCCGTTGGCGGCCTCGGCCGGGCGGCTCCGTGCGCGGCGCGCCCAGGCCAGGCCGGGCCCGCACGCCTCGCCCGCCGCCGCTGCTCCTGCAGAGGGGCGTCGGCGCGTGGCACCGCCGGCGGCCAACGGCGGCCCCTGCAGGGCGGCGTCGATGGCGATGCCGGCCGCAGGGTTCGTGCGCGGCGCCGCCGTTTGGCCTTTGCCGTGCGGCGGGTCCCGCTACGTGGCTCCACCAGCGGGTGTCGGGATGCCCGCCGCCCGAACGGCTCCTGAGGCGGCGGCTTCCGGTGGCGATGCCGCCGCAGGGGTCGTATTGGCGCCGCGCCGCTGTGGCCTGTGCCGTGCGGCGGGTCCTACGTGGCGCCACCAGCGGGTGCGGCGATGCCCCCGAACGGCTCCTATGCGGCGGCTCCGGTGGCGATGCCGCCGCAGGGTTCGTACGTGGCGCCGCCCGCCGTGGCACTGCCATGCGGCGGGTCCTACGTGGCGCCACCAGCGGGTGCGGCGATGCCCCCGAACGGCTCCTATGCGGCGGCTCCGGTGGCGATGCCACCGCAGGGTTCGTATGTGGCGCCGCCCGCCGTGGCACTGCCGTGCGGCGGGTCCTACGTGGCGCCACCAGCGGGTGCGGCGATGCCACCGAACGGCTCCTATGCGGCGGCTCCGGTGGCGATGCTTCCGCAGGGTTCGTACGTGGCGCCGCCCGCTGTGGCACTGCCATGCGGCGGGTCCTACGTGGCGCCGGCGCCAGCGGCGATGCCACCCGGCGGGTCATACGCGGGTCCTGTGGCGCCACCCGGGAACGGCCACCCCACGAGCTTCCCAGAGTGGGTTTACACCCCCGAGAACGGCGCGGAGATCGACATCCGCGCCGGTCCGCACATCGACGCCGAGAGGAGCCCGTACACGCTGGACCCCGGCGACGTGTTCCAGGCGTGCGAGGAGCGGCTCGGCGCCCAGGGTGTGCTGTACCTGAAGCTGGCAGACGGCCGCGGGTGGGTGTTCGACAGGAGTCGCATGAAGCAAGCGGGTCCTGATCCACCGCCAGAGTGTGTCCACATCCACCGCTTCGAAGTCGTGCCCTGAGATCTCGAGGAGCGGTGGATGCGGATATCTGCCCGCCTGCGTGGGCGGGCAACTACCCACATCCACCGCTCCCCGAGTGCTCGGAGCACGACTGCTCGGCACTGTACATGGTCGTATTCTTGCGGTACACTTTTAGGCACTCGAGAATGTTCTGTGTGTTTTGGCTGGCGCTGGGCCTCACGTTTTGCTTGGTCTGAGGACTGCTGCTTGCTGCCCCGGCTGAGGTCGGGCCGAAGGAAAGGGGGTACGGGAAAGGGGGGTACGAAATCTGCTGCGTGCAGCCGGTTTCGGCCCCGCCGCCGGGCCCACTCCTCGATACATGGGCGCCTCCCGGCGCCGGGAGGCGCCAGGAATCAGCTACGCGAGCTGCTTCTCAACCCCCCCCTTTGCTATCCCCCCCCTTTCGCCCAGCCCGATGAGGGAACCGGGTGCGGAGTTCGTTCGTCGCCGCTTCTGGGCCCCGCTGGGCCTTCCGCGGGCCCCGGGATGACCAGGAGGTCCCTCTCGCGGGCAAGAAGCAGCAGCAGAAACACAAACACACACACACATACACACCCACACGCACACACACACACGCACACACGCACACACGCACACACGCACACACGCACACACGCACGCACGCACACCCACACACACCCACACGCACCCACACGCACACACACGCACACACCCGCACACACACACACACACGCACACACGCACACACGTACACACGCACACACGCACACACGCACACAACACACGCACTCACGCACACACGCACACCGCACACAACACACGCACACGCACACGCACACGCACACACGCACACACGCAACACGCACACGCACACGCAAACGCACACGCACACGCACACGCGCACGCGCACGCGCACACGTACACGCACACGCAAACGCCAACACGCCACAACGCACACACACACACACACCACGCCCACGCCCACGGCCACACGCCCACGCCCACGCCCCCGCCCACGCCACGCCCACGCCCACGCCCACGCCCACGCCACACGCCCACGCCCCCCCCCCAACACACACACACCACATGCACGCACGCACGCACGCACGCGCGCACCGTACACACGCACGCACACACGCACACACGCACACACGCACACACGCACACACGCACACACGCACGCACGCACACACGCACACACACGCACACACGCACACACGCACACACGCACACACGCACACACGCACACACGCACACACGCACACACGCACACGCACACACGCACACACGCACACACGCACACACGCACACACGCACACGCACACACGCACACACGCACACACGCACACACGCACACACGCACACACGCACACACGCACACACGCACACACGCACACACGCACACACGCACACACGCACACACGCACACGCGCACACGCGCACACGCGCACACGCGCACACGCACACGCACACGCACACGCACACGCACACGCACACGCACACACACACACACACTGACACACGCACACACACACACACACACACACACACACACACACACACACACACGCTCACACACACACTGTGGAAAACACGCACAGTTTGTTTTTCCCCGAAAGGACGTGGGCCCAGGGTTCTCTGTTAGTCTTGTAAACTGTCCCCGGTGCCATGACTAAGGTGGGCCGGCGGATTCTTTTCCTGATAATTATTATGGTCGAGGTTGGCCAGTGGATTAAATTTTGAGGATGTCTCGAGCGAAACGCTTGTTTTTCAGAATTTGTTGAGGATGTCTCGAGCGAAACGCTGGTTTTGTAGACTCGGGGTGTGTCTCGAGCGGGGGCCTCGTGGGGGGCCAGAATGCAGAGGATGTCTCAGGCGAAATGTTCATTTTCACGTGCCCAGGTCGGCCAGGGGGGTATCCAACATGGTTGTCCGTCGCTGGCGCATCAGACGACCGCATGTTGGATATCCCCCCTGGGTGGGCTGGAACCGTGAGTTTTTACATATGCAGGCCATCAGGGGGGTATCTAACATGGTTGTCCCGAGCTGGAATCACGTGTTTTCACGTGTCCAGCCCACCCAGGGGTGTATCTAACATGGTGGTCCCGAGCTGGAACCACGTGTTTTTACATGTTCAGGCCACCCAGGAGGTGTATCTAACATGGTGGTTTTGCGCTGGAACCGTGTGTTTTCAAGTGTCCAGGCCACCCAGGGAAGGTATCTAACATAGGGGTCCTGTGTCCAGGCCACCCACGGAGGTATCTGACATGATCGTCCCGAACTGGAGCCACGTGTTTTTACGTGTCCAGGCCGCCCAGGGGGGATTTCCAACATGGCGTCGGGCCCAACGCCGAATCATCAGAAAACGCAGGGGGGGCCGAAAAACGCTACCCGAACACATATCCCAGTGATGTTTTCTTGCTCTGGACAGGGGGTGGCGCTTTGGTGGGGGGCCTCTCCAGGGAAGACAATGTGAGGATGTCTCGAGTGGGAGCGCGAATTCAGTGTATCCAGGCCACGCAGGGGGGATCTAACATGGTTGTCCCGAGCTGGAACCACGTGTTTTTACCTGTCCTGGCCACCCAGGGGGGTATCCAACATGATTGTCTCGACCAAGGACCATGTGTTTTAATGTGTCCAGGCCACTCAGGGGTGTATCTAGCATGTCTGTCCCGAGCTGGCACCACGTGTTGTTACGTGTCCAGGCAGCCCAGGGGGGCATCTAACATGGTTGTCCTGAGCAAGGGCCACGTGTTTTAACATGTCCAGGCCACCCAGGGGTGTATCTAACATGGGCGCCCAGAGCTGGCACCCACGTTTTTACGTGTCCAGGCCGCCCAGGGGGGTATCTAACTTAGTTGTCCCGAGCTGGCGCCTCGTGGTTTAACGTGTGCCCAGAGCTGGCACCATGTTTTTTATGTGTCCAGACCACCCAGTCGGGTATCTAACATTGTTGTTCCGAACTGGAGCCACGTGTTTTTACATGTCCAGGCCGCCCACGGGGGTTATCCAACATGGCGTCAGGCCCAACGCCGCATTATGAGGAAACGCAAGGGGGGGGGGCGAAAAGCGCTACCCGACCACATGCCCCAATACAGAAAAGTGATGTTGTCTTGCTCTGAACAGGGGGTCGGGTTGCGCTTTGGGGGCCTCTCCAGGGAAGGCATTGCGAGGATATCTCGAGCGGGAGCGTATCCAGGTCACGCAGGGGGGTATCTAACATGATCGTCCCGATCTGGAACCACGCGTTTTTACCTGCCCAGGCCACCCAGGGGGTATCTAACATGGTCGACCCGAGCTGGCACCGTGCTTTTACGTGTCCAGACCACCAGCACGACGCTTGTCCCCAGCACGTTCTGTAGCGCGTCCCCTTGGCACGTCCCGCGGTGCGTCCCCTTGGCACGTCCCCTGGCACGTCGCCTGGCGCGTCCCTTGGAACGTTCTGCGGCGCGTCTTCCTGGCATGTTCCCCTGTCAATTTGCTCTGGGGCAGCAACTATGTGGACTATGTGCTCAGGCAGCTCGAGCTTAAGATCCAGACCAGTTCGGTCAAGACTTGTATGCAACGGAGGACTCGATCCGCAACACTATAGAGCACAATCGCGGCATGGCACATCGCAGTTCAGCACGGCGCAACACAGCACAGCCCTCGGCACGGTACATCAAGATGGATACACTCAGCATTGCATTTGCCCGCCGCCCAATCAGGTGTCTTTGGAACGTTACCATGTCTTACATGTCCATATTCCTTTCTGGGTTCGTGGGTCGATCATGCTCAAACACGCTGTGGGTTTTCTTCCAGAGTGTTTTTCCACAGAGAGCAGCACAGCAACAACAACAACACATGGCCAGGGGGTGGCCCTGCATGGCCGAAGAGGGGCCCTTAGGGGCACCCAGGCCCCGCTTCCCGCAGGGCCCGCTCGCCCTCCAGGGCTCCGGCGTCGTGGCCTTTTTGTGCGCTGCCTGGGGCCCTCAGAGGGTTTCGGGGCCGTTGCCCCTGGACTGGCTCTTCCCCCGAGCGCCACCGGAAGCAAGGGCGCCCTCGAGGGCGCGACGTTATTCGCGCTTCGCGGTTCGGCTCCGATTCCTCCTCATCCTCCTCTTCTCCCCTGGGAGGCGGCGAGAGAGCGCGAAGTTATTCGCACTTCGCGCTTCGCGCAGCGCGAAGCGCGAAGTGGGGAGCCCTTGCAGAAGCAATTCTATATTGGGGACGCTCCAGTGGGGCCTTGCCTTTGAGGGTCGCAGGAGTTGTGCTCTCTTCCTCGACGGCAGGGCGGCGGAAGGTCGGCGGAACTCAGACGAGGCCGCCTCCGCCGGCGGAAGGCTGGCGGAAGGCTGGCGGAAGGCGGCGGAAGTAAAAGATAAGCCTCGGCGGCTCAAGGACGCTTCTCGCACAGGCGAGCGTGGGGTCGCAACTCCCCACCAGGCGGGTTCTTAACACTCTCCTCCTGCCATGGTGCAGCTGTCCGCGGCTTGACGGATTCGGAGGAGGAGTTCACCACCGCTGGTGCCTGCGAGGCTGGCGGAACGCGGCGGAAGTAAAAGATGTGCCCCCAAGAGATGAAAACGTTTTTGGGTTCAGAGTTTCCGAAACCGCCATGTACGCTCGCTGCTGATTATCACGCGCGCGTGGCACAAGACAGGCGAACTTCGGCAGCGAGCCCAACGGAAACCGTCACGAAGCAACCAGGTCCAGTACGAGGGACCAGCTCGTCCGCCTGAGCGTCACCAGAAGGGACTAACAGCATACACATTAGTTTGTCGCTGCGCGCGGATTTCTTGGATCCGCGCTGCCCCCCCCCCCCCCCCCCTGGCGGCGCCTCCAGCGCCGCCCCTGGCGCGCTACGCGCGCCAGGGAGGGGGAGGCCAGCGCGGATCCGAGAAATCCGCGCGGAGCGCCAATATTTCATATTTATGCAGGCGCTTCTTCTTCTAATCTTATTTACGCTCGCCAATGATAATCACGCGCGCGTGATCCAAGACATGCGACATTCAGTAGCGAGCCCAATGGAAATCGCCACGAAGCTACCATGTTCAGACACCTTTTTTATATCAATAATCGATCCCCGGAACAACACACCGCCACCATTTCCAACACGCATCACTCTTCGGCGTGATGTTTTACTCGACGCCACGTGTGCATAATACGGTAGCGTCCAGGGCTAGAACTTGAAACGGTCATGCTCTACTCGACTCGGCTCGATCTGCTCTGGTCTGCTCGATCCGTCTCGAGCTGCTTTGCCCCAGGTCAACTGTTGAGTCCTCGTGATGGTGGCACGCTCTTCCCGTCGTGCACGATGTTCAGCTTCCCCAGGCCTACGAGGCAACAAGAGAGGAGGAGGAGGAGGAGGAGGAGGAGGAGGAGGAGGAGGAGGAGGAGGAGGGAGGGAGGAGGAGGAGGGAGGAGGAGGAGAGGAGGGAGGAGGAAAGGGAGGAGGAGGAGGAGGAGGAGGAAAGGAGGAGGAGGAGGAGGAGGAGGAGGAGGAGGAGGAAGGGAGGAGGAGGAAAGGGAGGACGGAGGAGGGAGGAGGAGGGAGGAGGGAGGAGGGAAGGAGGGAGGGAGGGAGGGAGGGAGGGAGGGAGGGAGGGAGGGAGGAGGAGGAGGAGGAACTGCACCTCGTGACAGCTCTCTGCCCCGCTTTGCCCCACTCGGCTCTCGTCGGAGCCATCGGCGGGCAGCCCTTGGCAGGCAGCCCGCCGGGCAGCCCGGCCAACCGGCCCTCGGCATGCTTCCACGCCTCAGCGTGCTATTGCACACGGGTGGCAGTCGTGGCCACAGCCGCATTGGGAACCAAATGAGTCACGTGATCAGTGAAAAGTACAGTCAACGCGCATACTAAGGACAAACGACTTTTTCAAGGGTACCCTTGGGTCCTTGCCTGCCTCAGCCTCTGCGGCCCGTCCCTAACAATGTTCGCAGGCCAGAATACTTCATTTTCGGCCTCCAAGGGTCTTGCGTCCTTACCACGCGGCCTCACCATACTTTTTCACTGTAGGGTCAACCCAGCTTCACTTCTCGGTCGATTGTCCAACTATGACTCTCTCAATTGTACTGTGCCCACGCTCCCTCCACCCCAATCCGCTCAACAATACTTTAATATGCTCTGTCCCACTCTATGCGAAAAATATGCGCAGACCCCGTTGGATATCCAAACCGCGATTTACCGATCAGGAGCCGTAGAACTCATAGGATCAGGAGGAAGCAAAAACACACACAGACACAATTCATCGTCGATTCCAAGGAAATATGGGAAAATATGGGAAGTGGGGGGGAAGACAAGAACCCAGACGATATGAGAACCTATTGGGAATCCTGTTATTTGTGTGTAGTTATTTGTGTGTCCCTGGACCCCTCCATATGAGCTCGACCACTCCCCTACGTACCAATTCACATCGAGAGCTAGAAGAGGGAGAGGACCCGCAGGACCCACATATCCTTCTGTGGCAGTGAGTTCGGCGTTGAGGAAGCGGGGCTCGAGCCTGCTCTTGCTTGCTCGTGCTTGCCCTTGCTTGCCCGCACTTGATCGCTGGCTCTTGCCTGCTCGTTATTGCTCGCTTGCGCCGGCTTGCTTGCGTTTGCTTGATGTTGCTTGTCCCGTCCTCCTCCCGTCCTCCTTTCGTCCTCTTCCCCCTATCCTCCTCTCGTCCTCCTGTCTTCCTATCTATTTGGAGTCAACGCTGGCTGATACACACACACACACACACATATATATAGGCATACACATATATCAGCCAGCGTTGACTCCAGATATATAGGAGGACAGGAGGAGGACGAGAGGATGATGGGAGGATGACGAAAGGAGGACGGGAGCAGGACGAAGGAGGACGGGACAAGCAACATCACGCAAACGCAAGCAAGCAAGCGGAGGCAAGCAAGCGCAACAGAGCACAAACAAGCAAGCAACAGCCAGCGATCAAGTGCAAGCAAGCAAGCAAGCAAGGGCAAGCAAGAGCAAGCAAGCGAGAGCAAATATGGGGGGTGCCATTGGAAAAAAGGGAAAACGGGCTGGGAGCTAAAGACGAATTATTGAGAATGAGCTAGGACTCCTATAGGGCAAGCCTATCGAGATAATCTAGGTGTGTATATATATATATAGAGAGAGATCGATATGTGTATCCTATACACTTATGTACATGATCGTAGTCGAAGTGAGAACTCAGGCTGGTAAGACGATTTGGATAGCGGTCACGTAGGCGAACATGTCTGCTGGGAACTCGTCTGGATTGTTTTTTTGCCTTGCTGACGAGCACAAAGTAAGAATTTCAATAGGCAAGCTTGATGGGATAATAGCAAGGTCGCTACACAATTGTCCTACACGCGGACAATCGCAGCATGGGTTCAAGATAGTTGGCCATCGCCGTGCGTTCGGTTAGCCACCAGCTGCCAGTCACGTTATGGGACACACCACCCGACATTTCGTGATATGAATGTAACAAATTGTCCACATACCAACCCACCATAGACGGTTGTTGAGTCTCTAGCCTCTAGCTTGTTTTCAAAGAGGTTGCATGCGTACGTATCGCATACCATTGTGTATCAAATGATGCCTAAAGCTGGTGTGCATTCGAAATGCGCACTACCTACATACACCGATCGATAGATGCTCGTATGTTTACGACGCCCTAACAACTTCGAAACGCAAGCCTGGTAAACATATCACGTAGATTGTAGTCAAGGGTTACACAACTACGTACACTTCACAACGACTAGGATCAATTCCACAGATTGCCATCCGCATGCTGCATTGATGACTGATGCTCCTCATGAGCATGTAATCACCTGCGCGGGGTCATCTCACACAGCAACATCCCCCCCCCCAAGCAAAGACAAACGCAGCGCGCTTCTCTTGCAAGACCACGCCCCAGTTTCAATAACAGTCAACGCGCCTAGTAAGGACGCGCGCCTTCATCTAGGATACCCTGACGTCCTTGCCTCTGTGGCCCGTCCTTTGCCGTTTTCACTGGTCGCCGCCGCCCAACAAAAATCCCAGCTTCAGCCTCCAAGGGTCTTGCGTCCTCACCACGCGTCCTTAATACACGTTTTGACTGTAATTTTCACGCTGCAGGAAAACCAATCGGCTGCCATCACGCCCGACACCTCGCGGGGTCGTGCCCATGCCCTCTCTCGCCAGCCCCGGGGGGCCAGGCGAAGGCCCCCCTTGGGGGCCGAGACCGGCCAACGGCTGTCGGCCGCGAGTTTCTGCCGCAGGAGCGACGCAGAGGAACAGGCTCGGTCGCACGGGCACTCGCGCGGGCAGGCAGCAGTAAAACGACGCGAAGATCGGGACAAAATCGGATCGGGATAACTCGAAATCTCTGAGAATCGGCGGGTTTGGAGGATGTATGGGGCGCCGCGGCCGGCCCAGAGCGTTCCGGAACGCTCTGAGAGCGCTCCGGAACGCTCTGGAGCGATTTATCCCGATCCTAGCCCTGTTTTAAGCAGGGTCGGGGGCGGAAAAGAGGGGGGTGATGATTAGGGGGGGGGATATCACGGCGGGGGCCATGACGTTTCCCCAGATTTCATGGCGCCTCTTCTGGTTTCGTGACGTCCCTGGCCCCCCCGCTGGGCCGCGCACATGCCACTGGTCATGATTTGCATCCCCCCCTCTTGGACACCCCCCTCTTGGCCGCTTCCGAGTGCAGGCAGCAGGGGGGAGGCACATGGTACAAGCATCGTTGAATTCTGTAGCACCGTATTTTTTTGTTGGTTCGGGCGCAGGGAGGGCGTACCCACGGCCTCACGTCCTGACGCGTGAGGCGCCGAACCTCTGACATACAGTCAAGACGCTGAAATAAGGAACGGTTTGGGTTCGGAAGGGGCTCGATGTTCCTTAGGTTCCTCCAGTGCTGTTCCTCTTGCCCTCCTGGGGCACGGAGGCGCTTACAGGGCCAAGAAGGGGCTTCGTTCCTTATTTAGCGTTCCTTCTTTCAGCGGCCCGACTGTATCGTAGCCTTGAGTCGCACTGCAAAGAAGTTTGTGGTCCGATCGCGCCGGCATCCGCGCGCTACCTGCCCGCGTAAGGTGGCGCGCCAGCCCCGTCGATTCAAGGTCGTTGCGCAATCTCGCATGAGACCTGTGTTTTTTTACGCTCATGTGGGGGGGGGGGGACATCCTTCGGCGAGCGAGGGGGGGAAGTGAGAAGGGGCAGGCCTTCTCAGAAGGCTCGGAGGTCCCCCAGCCTTCCGAGAAGTCTTCTGAGCCTTCCCCGACGACGGAAAAAGACTTCTCGGAAGGCTCGAGGGCTCCTGAGAAGTCCCGCCACCTTCTGAGAAGGCCTCTTCCTTCTCACTCCCCCCCGTCGCTTTGCAGCCTGATCCTGCCGCAGGAAGCCCGGCGTCGGCCTGATGTGCTCGCGGGGTCACCGCGCACAAGGTAAGGTCGTGGCGCAATCTCGCGTGAGACTCGTTTTTTTTAACGCTCATGTCGCTCATGTGAGAAAGCCTTCTCCTTCTCACTTCCCCCCGTCGCTCGCCGCCAGATCTGAGTCGGGCCTGTCCCTCTACAGGGGGGATATTCAAAAATAGTTAAAAAATAGTTTGTTCGACCATTTTTGAGTATTTGTTTTTTTTTTTTTATTGAATATTTTTTAGTTTTCGCCCCAAACCCCCCTGTAGGGGGACACGCCCGACTCAACACTTCCCCCCGTCGCTCGCCGGCAGATCCTGCCGCAGGAAGCCCGGCGTCGGCTTGATGTGCTCGCGGCTGGCGAGGTTCCTCGGCTCCGCGCACGTCCCCCCCGCGGCCCCGCACGGCGCGCTGGAGGCCGTCCCCGTGTGGGTGCACTCCGCGTGGGTCCACGCCCCGGAGCACCCCGCCCCCCTGGCGCTGCGGGTCGCGCCAGACATCGGCGCCCCGAGGACGTCGGGCGAAGAGAACAGAGCTGTTCATATATATATATATACACATATATATACATACATACATATGTATACACATATACACATACACACATACATACATCCATACATACATCCCTACATACATACATGCATGCATGCATGCATGCATACATGCATGCATGCATGCATACATACATACATACATACATACATACATACAAATATACATACATACACATACATACATACATACATACATACATACATGCCGACAGACAGACAGACAGACAGACAGACAGACAGACAGACAGACAGACAGACAGACAGACAGACAGACAGACAGACAGACAGACAGACAGACATACGTACATACATACATACATGTATACGCATATACATACATACATGCATGCATGCATGCATGCATACATACACATACACACATACATACATACATGGAAACATACGTCCGTACGTACGTACGTATGTACGTACGTACATGCATATACATATATATATATATATATATATATATATAGATACACTAGAACCACGCGCGCGCTTCGCACGCGCTTAGGTTCTAGTGCGTCCCGACTCTCCACAACAACATGGTTGCCCATGTGACCACATGCGCATGCATACTGAAAATTGCTACGACAATTACATGGCCACCCTAAGAAGGCCAAGGAGGGAAGCCTCACCACAGACAGGCCCCCCTTTTCCTCCCACTCCTCATTGGGTTTCCCCTTCAATTGCTCCTCCTTCTACTCCTCCTCCTCCTCCTCCTCCTCCTCCTCCTCCTCCTCCTCCTCCTCTCCTGCTTCCGTTTGCTCCTCATCATCCTCATTTCCTCTGGGACCTCCTCCTCCTCCTCATCGTCCTCATCACATCCTCATCTCATCATCCCCGTGGTCGTCGTTGTTGCCACTTGCTCCTGCTGCTCCTCCTGATCCGCGTCTTCAGGCCTGTCTTCCAACCTCCGCCTCTCCTCCGCTCGAGCCTCCCCCTCCTGCCCCGCATCGTCCTCGTCATCGTCATCCCTATATTTCTCTTCACCGTCGTCATCCTTCAGGTGCAAGCGCGCGTGCAATTGGGCCCAGCGAGTTATAAGTTTAAGTGGACCGAACGATTTGTGAGTTCAAGGGGCCCTCCAAGACCGTCTCGAATGCTCCGACCTGATTGTGCAAGCGTGCCTCTGAGCTCGACCGAACCGCTTACATGCCCCCGTAAGACCCTCGACAACTTCCTGCAACTGGCCGGGAGAGACACTTTTGGAGATGTGTGATTCCAGTTTTTTTATTGCGCCCTTCTGGCAGGAGAAGGAGGAAAGTTGAGGTGGATGATTGCGCGACGAATGCAAGAGGGAAGTGATGACGAGCTGGGAGAAGGAGGAGG